CCCTGTACTGAGGTGATGCAGGCAGGCAGAGCAGGAGCCAAAGAACACAGAGTGTGCCCTTCGGGAAGGGCCCGCTGACCCTTGGCTACAGGCTGGCGCACGTCTGGGGCTGGATCAAACCTGAAGCATCTGAAAAACCGTCAGTGTGTTGGCTCTGCTTCTGCCCGGGGAGCCCAACCTGCACCTGCCAACACCCCTCCTAAGAGCTCCCGGCCGGTCCCACTCACGACCGCTCTGGGAGGAGAAGGAGAGCAGAGAGCCCTCCAACTCCAGTCCCTGACCTCGTCAGGGTCCTGCTGGCCATGGAAATCTGCGGCAAGAAGCGTGATTCCCACGCGTGGCTCCGGGATTGGTGGGTGTTCACCCGTGGGCCTGACCACAATGTCTCAGGCCCCAGAGGACCCCGCTGCCCTTTCGGACTCTGCTTCTGCCTCACACAGTCCCGGGCTCTCCAGGCTCCGCCCACTTCTTGATGCAAGGCAGTGTCTTTAAAGTTTAAAGTTACTTTTCCTATTATTTCTCAAATATTTTACTGTGGGTTAATTAATTCATTTCTAATGCTATTGCCTCAAATTGTGACTTAATCTCTGCGTTAAAAATACATAACCTCTGGGAACCAGCAGTTAGCGTAATGGCTATGTCGCTGGACTCCCACGTAGTCGACCGCGGTTCGTGTCCCGGACCCGGTGGCTTAAAACTCACGCCGGGCGCGTGTGCGTGCGTGCCCAAGATCCCGAGAGGAGAATGGAGGAGAAGGGATTGCGGCGTGACCATCCCCCCTAGGGGGTGATTTCTCGCTTTCTGTCTCTATGTCTCTCTCTGTCTGTCTGGCGAGCGCACGCACCCTACAGTGAAAATCTCTCCAAAAAAAAAAATCATTAAAAAATACATAACCTCTGAGATTTTTGAAGCAATCAGTATCTTCAGTGTACTTTATTTTATTTTTGACTCACTCTTTCTTTAGTAGTTTACGTGTAGAAGGCAGTTACGAAATCTACAGATCTGCAGCTCCTGTATGACAAGGGATGTTGAGCATTTTTCATGTGCTTTTTGGCTGTTCGTGTGTCTTCCTTAGAGAGTTGTTCAACTTATTTGGCCATCTTTTAATTGGGTTTATTATTATTATTTTTGTTGTCATTGTTGTTAAGCTGCCCAAGTTCCCTGTAGATCCTGGTCAGACCCTTATCTGAGGCATAGTTTGCAAATGAATTCTCCCATTCCAAGGGTTGTTGATTCACTCTAATTGTTGTTTATCTCGGTGTGCAGAAGCTTTTTAATCTGATGTAATCCAATTTGTCTGTTTGTGGGATTATTGCCTATGCTTTAGGGATACTAGAGACAGCGTGGGTGGTGGGTGGGAACTGGGGGAGGGTGAGAGGGAGGCAGGCAAGGGGAAAAAGAGAGAAGCAAAATGTATAAGGGACACAGAAATGGAAAGTCATCTGCTGATGATAATGTGTATGGGAATATCTTTGAACCAATGTACTGTGTATTCGGAGTGGGAAAATTCATTTGGTATATTGTAATGATACAGTGATTGAATGAAAGTAAGATAAAATGAAAAATGTAAAAGAAATCTTCAGATTTATTGTTTGGATGATCCATGCGTTGAACAAATGTGCAAATGTTAGATTGTTTATTTAAAAAATTGAATAAATGTGGGACCAGCAGTTAGCATAATGGCTATGTCGCTGGACTCCCACGTAGTCGACCGCGGTTCGCGTCTCGGACCTGGTGGCTTAAAACTCACGCCAGGCGCGTGTGCGTGCGTGCCCAAGATCCCAAGAGGAGAATGGAGGAGAAAGGATTGCGGCATGGCCATCCCTCCTGGGGGATGATTTCTCGCTTTCTATATCTCTGTCTCTCTCTGTCTTTCTGGCGAGCGCATACGCCCTATAGCAAAAACCTCTCCAAAAAATTGAATAAATGTATAGGTCAACTTCCAGATTTCCATAGTCTTTAATAGAAATAGCAATGGTTTAAGTCTTATTCTGGAGACTTAATGTTAACTCATCACTTTAATTGATTTCTAGTTTTATTCATGACAGAATAATTTGTACTAAACGAACACCTGATGAAATAACGACAAGAACAGAAAAAACATAGAACACAATCTTTTGAAAGAAACAGAGGGACAGCAGCAGAGGCCAGTCTGCAAGACCACAGCCCTCAAGAGAACGGAGGTGCGCAAGTCAGGCGTTTTCCCGATGCCACTCCCCGAGCACGGTCTCCCAGAACAAGCGTGCTGGCTCTGCGGATCTCAGCCCCTCCAGACCCTCCGAGCTGGTCCTCCCTTCCCAGTGAGCACCGGCCCTTCTGCCCCTGTGGAAGGAGCGTCTGAGGCCTCTTCTTCTGGGCAGCAGGTAAGCTCCTTGGAGGGTATCCACCTGCTCTCCTGTTGCCCGAGGGCCCACCGGGGCTGTCCAGCCCAGCCCAGCTCGGAACACCCAGCCTAACAAGAGAAAGCACCTCCGAGAATGAGCTAGCATGTGCCCCCGGAGAATGAGCGAGCATGGGCGGGCTCAGCCAATGAAATAACTTGGGCAGATTTTATTTATTTATTTATTTTTTTGCCAGAAGGCACATGTGCTTGCCAGTTCCGGGGGCGGGTGGGGGCTAGGGGGAGGAGAAATCCTTCCTTGTGGGAGATGACCACACTGCCATTCCTTCTCTTTCATTTATCTCCTTTTGGAACTTTGGACATGCACACACACATACCCAGAGTATTTCTCAAGCCTCTGGGTCCAAGACTCCAGCCATGCACTCATATGTGGGGCCCAGCCGCCTTCACCACCATGCCACAGGCTGGCCCTCTGGGGCTGAATTTAAAAGTACTTATCACATAATCAAGGAGACCTGAATGTGAGGAATGTGAGAACGTATAAGCAAGAACTTTTAAGCAGGATATTCTTAGGTGATGGGTTTTAACCACCAAACACCCTACAGCAAACTCACTGCCATGCGGCCCTTAGGAGCTGGGAAAAGGGGTGACCTGTGCTCAGTGACGTGGGGTTGACCGCGTTTCCCTGGAAGCTGGCGGAGGGAGGGATGGAGCAGCCCAGGGGCTGGCAGGTGGCAGACACGGCGTGCTTTTGTTCTGGGGAGGGGCCCAGAGGACACGTCATTCCCAGGGTGTTGGCAATGCACTGGTGAGGGGGCCCAGCACCCTGACAGCGTGGGGGTGGCCTCTGTCCTGGAAAGGGCCACAGTAGGACAGGTGGACACAGCTGTTCTCACTCAGACCCATGGTCATGACGGAGCGGTCAGCGGTGGCATGTGTCTACGTAGGCGAGGAGTCCTGCCTGACAACCCGCTCGTGAGCCGCGGGGCCCTCCTCCCCGGCCTTGTAACCGGGGTTTACACCCTGGGAGGCTGGAGTAGCCCACACTGGGTACGGCCCATGGGAGAGTGAGCGCAGCAGGGCGGGCCACGTGGGGCACCCGCAGCCAGGACGAGGCGCGGACGCCAGCTTCTCCTCCCGGGCAAGCGTGGCAGGTCTGCTGGCGCAGTGGGGCCCTGAAAGTCGCAGGGCCGCGGTCCCCAGGGTCCTTTTATCCCATTGGTCATCCTGGCCCTTCCAGGGGTGGAGGGGGACTGCGAACCACCGGGGCTTAAGCAGGGGTGGCCTGTGACGGCTGTGGTGACAGGCGTGGTCCCGCTGCCAGCTCAGGTGAGAAGCCGCAGGCCTGACATAGTTATAGAGTGCTGGATGACCGCTTTCTTCTCCATTTAGATTTTCAGGAAGGGTTATACATGGTGCGCGTTGTGGGGCAGAGAAAACGTTGGCCGTTTGTCTCAGGAAAGGGCGGCCTGACAGAGGAGTGAGACCTGGGGCCTTTGGAAGACCCTTGCCCTCCAGAAGGCAGAGCACATCCCATGGAGACTTGGGCACCTGCCATCTGGGCGGTGGCTTGTAGTCCAGAGGTCGGGGTGGGCGGGGGTCGCTCCTCCCACACCGAGGGCTCGGTTCCTCCCGGCTGCGACTCCGACCAGGACCAACGCGCAGAGCCCAGAAGGCTGGGCGTTCTCGGGGCAGCGAGCAC